TGCTGCTCTTCACAAGGTTATTTTCGCTTTTTTGAGCTTTTGGGTCTTTCGGTTCGATTCAACGGCCTAGACTTTTATTACTAAAAAAAAAAAAAGAAAAGAAAAAAAATGAAGAAAATGTTAGCCTTACCAATCTTTTCGTCTAGAAAGTTGACATGGAGAGACTCGAGTAAATTGAATGAAGGCAAAACGAAAATCCCTTCTAGGATACTTGTTAGTGTTTTTTTTTTTTTTTTTTGGTTAAAAACTCTCTCCGATTTGATTTCGTACTTATATTGTAACTCAAACTTAGAATTTTGTGTTATTTAGAGGTTAAATTATTATTAAATTATTTAAATATAGGCAAAATTAGCAATTAAAACCTGCCCCACTCAACTGGAATTGAATTATTTCTTGCTTTGCTGAAGTGTTGATCGAGAACCATTCATCCAAAAGGCTTGAATTGATTTTTCATTTATCCTAGTACATTTTTTTGAAGAGGGTTTGTGTAAAATGTACTAGGATTATATTCATTATATCTTTATACAAACCCTCTTCAGTTTATCTTCGGGCTCAAATTTCTTGCAGGCCTTTGTATTTTTATTAGTGATGGTTTTTACCCTTTGTTTTATAAAATGTAGAATCTGATGGCATGATCAAGTTAAAAAAATTGCTATCTTTATGGAAAGATTTTATACATCAGAAAAAATGACTACAAGATTGAGATTGATTCTCCCTTTGTATTGCAGGTGGATGGCTACTCAGGCACCAATGCACCCTGTATATTCGTATCTAAGTGTAAATAAACAAAAGATAAGAAAAGAAAAGGGAAGAAAAACATTTTGTAGAATATTATAAATATTCATGTAAGTGTATGTCCAACCATTTCTTAACTTAAATATGTATGCATATTTTTCAAGTCTAGGTCTAGGGTTAAAATTTTAAAATCAACACTTAAAAAAAATGATATTTTTAAATATATCACATTAATGTATAAATATATTTTTAAAATGATTTTAAAAAATTAATTTTAAAATATTCAAAAACTAACGTGAAAACAATTTGATCCTAGAAAAAAAAAAATTCACACATATTATATCTAATATTATAAATTTATATACATAAATAAACAAAAGATAAGAGGAAAGAAAAGTTCCAAGCTTAAGTATTGTAGGAAAGTAAAAAAGCAAAGCAAATAAATAAAAAGATTTAAAATGTACGTATTTCATTGTTGTTCCAATTATTTTGTCTCAAAATCATATCCCTTTATTCTTTGGCTTGCAAAGGGCATTAAACATTGCCTATGTCTATGTATTCACTTGTGACTTGTGTGTCCTTTTACAGATTGTGCGTCCTATGCTTTTCCGCATTCTTTGACTTGGTAAACCTTGTTAACCATCAAAAGCTTTACATACACGGCATGTGAAATAGAGAATATTTAGAAAAGAAAAACACCTTCTTACCCTTTCGTATGTTTTATCTCTCCTCTTTATTTCCCTAAATCAAACAAGTTTAAATGAAGAAAAGCAAGGCCACGCCAATGAAAAATCACTCCTAGCTACTCTACAATTATCAAGTCAAGTGGGGTACTTGTACCAAAAATTTAAAATAAAATAAAATAAAAAAGGAGTTAGGTGGGAGTGGGAGGGACTTTTACCCAATCGTCATCGAGCTAGGTTGAGCACTAGCACTCGGTGCACGCGAGTGCTGCTCGCAGTACCAAACCTTATCAAGTAAAAAAAATAATGGGAAAGCATAATCACACAATTAAAAAAGGAACACAAAACAAGAACCGCGATATTTAATGCCCCTATACAAGCCAAAGAGCACGGAAAGGAAATAATTTAGAGACAGAATGATTGTAGTAGCGAGGAAGAAAACAAGACAAATTCATTGCGTAGGGAAATGCATTTTATATATTGTCTTTCCAAATTTTTTTTGAATTTTTTAAATTTTTTAAATTTGTGTTTTAAGAATATTTTTTTAATAAATTATATAAAAAATAAATGTTAATATTAATTTTAAAATTAATGTTATATAAATAAATTTAATTAAATAATTAATAAATTAAATATTATTTTTATTTTTAAAATTTTTTTAACATACCTTCTTATAAGTTAAGAAAACTTATTTTTTTAAGTTTTATAAAATATTATTTTTTAATTAATATTTTTAAAAATTAATTAACAATTTTAAAATTGCACCTGTAAGTTTAACTCAGATGTATTGAATTTTTGACATTTATCAGAGTTAATAATAGTTTAATTATCCCTATTTCTTCACTTTCTCCCATGTTTAAAAAAATTATTAAGTTTTAAAATTTAAAATTTTAAAACAAAGTTTAAATAAATTAAAATTTTAATTTTAAATTTT